TGTCGTTAAGTATAGCCATATTTCGCTGTATCTCAGCCTCACTTCGGGGCGCATTGATGGCCGCGCAGCCCAAGTATGTCACCCGTTGTCGCAGCGATGGTAAGGCCCGGTAAGGCGCCCCTCCAGTGGGTGGCGGTTGCGGTGATGGCGTCGAGCGCTGTAAGGGGTGACTGTCTGCGGGAACGGCTGTCATCGATGTCTGCATTGGCGGCAAACTCGAGGTCGACGTCGACGACGACATGGACTGAGTGTCTGCTTCGGAGGTTTGCGGCAGCGATAGAGAGCTCTTGTCATCGCCGCTGGTGTTGACACTCGTCGGCTCAGTCGCTGTCGATTCAGACAATATGTTAACAAATTGGCGGATCAAATGCGGTGACAATACATACCATTCTTATGACCGGTGATTGAGTTATTGTTTTGATTGTTCAAAATGACAGCACTGTTGTCATCGACATCGACATCATCGACACCATTGGCATTGTTATTGTTATTATGGTTAGTGTTGACAGCATTTGAATCCATGATCAGTGGCTACACGTATGACACGATCACTGATGGCATCCAACGAGTGGTCAATGGATTGATTGAAAGCAATATGTTTTCAATGGACTCACGAAACACACACTCATTGAGAGAAATGAGTTTCAAATTGAATGTCAAACACAACACTAAACGCATACATGTCTTAACCGTTACACTCAAACCCCTTTATACACAGCATATGATAATTACGTGTTTTATAATGGCTTTCAATTTAATTATGTGTTTGTATTACAAACGGTGGGCTCACTGTATGCTATGCTGTAGTCGTGTTTTACTCTCACTCTGTCTCATCGACGGGTAAATAAACCGAAAGGTTTTTCACAGTACTTGCGGTTTAAACGCATGTTTCTGTTGACGATATGGCAGTGATTTCTATGCACTATTGCCACAAATATATGCCGTGTTTTGTACGCTCACTACAAATATGTATTGAATGCATGACGTAATACAGTCGGTGTCTGTTATGCGCTACATGTAAGGCACAGGTAGTCGATGTGTATTGAAGTTTAACGCAAAAAGTTTTATAATTTTTGAAAATGTGATTAACATTAGCACCGATGAAATATTAGATAGTTTTTCGCATTTCACGACATAATTATATAATTATTTATATGAATGCTTACAAATTTGGGTCAAAACATGTTATAATGAGCATAAAGTTTACGCCAAAACTTCAACACATTATTCAATGTGTTATACAATACCTGTGCAAACATCACACACCCCTCCACTCACTCATACAATGCTATTAAATCACATTACTGTATAAAATGAGTGAACAATGTGTAGAAAGTTTTTTAAATAAAATTTTTAATAAATCCTAAAATATTTGTTATGATTTTATAAATTTAATTAACTTTGTGTTGCTTAATATCAAATAAACTTGGTATTGGTCAAGAATATTTTATTTATAAGAATATCCAATTATTGTTAGAATAGTATGCTATGGAAATATATTTTTAATTAACTTTTATGTTGTTAATGCATTGCATGATAATTATAAATTATATTTTATAATTAATGTAAAATCTTTATTGACATTGAAAACAATATTCAAATATTCATTAAAAGTTGTATTTGTGCTTGAGTTTATATATCATATTGTTCAAATATGATTATCTATTTAACCTTATGTTTAGAATACACGATATAAATAGGCTTTTAAGTACTTTTTAATCTGTTAAAAATTAAATATAATAATTAAATTGATTAAAATATAAGTTTGACTGAGTTGAAACGTCAAAATAAACTTAAAATATAAAATGTAAATTATTTTCTATTCAATACGTAATCATTTATGAATTAATTAAAGTATTAAACAGTTAACTCAAACTGTGCTTGACATTAAATTCAATAAAATTCATTTGTATGAATTACGAAATTAATAAATAAAAAGTTTTATTTGAGTAATGAATGTGTGAATCAAATAATTAAAAAATTCTTTATTTCTTTGAATAAATGGAAAATAATTCTTAAGAACTCATACAATAGTTTAAAAAACATGTGTTTTTCTAAAGGCATCGTTTCATTAAATGGACGGATATTATGAAGTAATAAAAAATGAGACAAAAGAATTACAGAATTTAAAGTTTAAAATAAAAAATCAAATAAGAAACAAACAATATCAATGACAAACATTAAATGAAATAAAAATATAATAACATACATTTATATAGAAACATTGAAAAGACAATTCTTAGAGAATATTCTTAAAGAATAAGATAATTAATAGAAAATTGAATCCTAAGGTGTTATGAAAGGGCCGACAGTTCCCAGCCTTCTAGAGCCGCATTCGTAGCAATACTTAGCTATAGTGGTCGGGTATTTAGTGCCGCACTGGTGGCAGAACTTGGGAACCCCAGTACCACCGCCGCCATTGACGGACGAGGCCTGGGATCGGGTGCCGTCCGATGCCGAGTTGGCCCTATCCCTGGCATCCCGGGGCGGCGTATGTATGGAAGACGACTCAGCACTCGAGCCACTAGTGCTGCCACGGGTTGTACTCTCGCTGTTGGCCTCGAAGTGATTAGTCCTGCCATTCGTGAGGCCGTTGATCACAACGCCATTGGATTTGGATTTTGTGCTGCCATTCAAATACATTTCCTCTATTCGCGACTTTAATTGCATTAATTCCTCCTCTTCTGTCAACTGATTGCCATTACTATAATGTCTTCACATGTGAAATGAGAGGTAAACATAAATCAAATGAAAACCATATACCAAATGAAAATATAATTGATTTTTTCGCATTTAAGTAATGAAACAGAAATTCCGTACATTTTTATATTTGTACTATAAATGAATAGAAACTCAGAATTGATTAACAATTTGTTGCGAATATATAATTAGAGTAAAGATATTCATGTTTCTCTATAAGATTCTCGAGTCTATCAACTTTTGTTATGACTTTTGAATTGATTTATAAGAATATTCTTTGCGTAATATTATATTAGACATGACTTGTGATGTGCATTGTGTTGTCAATAATAAATAAAAGTATATATTCTAATAAATTAAAACCAAAATAAATCAATTCATTAAAGAAATATAAATGCAAATATAATAGTGAATGAGACGGTAAATAGCGTGAAAGTTATATCTAAAATATGAATAACTGTCTTAATGTATAAATACTAGAAACCAACAAAACAATCTATATAGATATATGGTATAAATAATTCAAAATAGTATTAATACTAATAATAGTCTATGAAGTTCTGTAATACTTTGTAAAAAACATTTGAATAAAGAATGAGACATAAAAAAGTTAAATAAAAATGCGAAACAGTTTTGCTCCAAAAAATAGACAAAATAGTAAATCAATTCGTGACCAATAAATGGGAACAAAAAAGACCTAAATATGTAGTATTTTCTATCTGATAGTAAAAATCCCTATAATTAAGTACACTATTGAAATTCATAGCATTCATCGACAATACATAAAATGTGTGCCAAAAATCAAATGATTGATTCTTATTACCCATTTTGATATCCCATTTGACTGTCACTCTTGACGGGTGACATACCGCCGGTCCTGACGCCGGGCACAGTCCTGGGGCCGCCGTTATACACCTCAGTCTTCTTCAGCAATTCCCTCAACTGTCCGTTTTTGATGAAATTCGCGTCCAGTTTAGTGGCATTCGTGTGGTTCGGGAACTTCTCCTTGAATTTCATGACGGGTTCCGTCTGTTTGATGAGATGGTCGACACTATCGGGCGACGAGTTCTTGGGTCGCGACAGAGAGTTAATCCTATGGTTACTGTATTTGGATTTCATGGGCGGCGATGGTGTCGTCCGCGCTGTCGTCGACTTTGGCATCGGTTTCGGAGACATTTTCAGGGAATTGGGTGGCGATGGACGCACTGTCGTTGTCTTACGGGTCGCCGGAGGGGTAGGCGCTTGTGTGGTCTTACGGTTCACTGGAGGGGTGGGCGGTTGAGATCGAGGCTTATTAGTGGTAGTAGTGGTGGTGCGGGCGGTAGTGGTGGTCGTGGTTTGTGGCGGTGTTTCCGACTTCGGCGAAGACTTGTTTGAAGGCTTATACTGCAATTCATTCATAAGATTGCAAATTATTATTTTATTTATAATAAATTTCTTTGAATTAAATTCTTGTAAAATTTGTGAATATTTTTCCACTTAAACGAATTAATAACTTTAGTTCACTAAACAGAATATTCTTATAGCAAACCAAACAAATGTCTGCTAAAAATATGAGGCAATCGTTGCGACTATTTATTAAATTAACATTTATAATCCATTAGTACATAATCATATGATAGCTACTATTAAGTGAAATAATAAATAATACTGGCTAGTAAGAATTCAATATTTATAAATATAAAACTAACATTAAATTTCATCAAATATTTATATCATTTAATTATTATTCTAGTGAACCAATTGCGATATTCCTTTAACATATCGTCTTATAAACCAAATACACAATTGGTTTATATAATAGTTTATGCAATCGATGCCTACCACTGAATAGTCATAACGTTTATTGTTATTAAATTTTGGTTCACTTTTATTTATGGTGTTTAAGGAGCAAAATCGTAGGGATTTTTTTTTGTATTTCGCTTACTTTGCATATAGTATCGGGAAAATGATTTATTGTTTATTTCCAAAGCCAATCGATCGGCATATGAAATATAATTAGTCTTAATGTTTTCGGTAAGTTTGCTAAAAAACTCATGAATAGCGAAACTAGTAGTTAGAAAGTTAATAAAGAAATCTTTAGCTATAAGTCATAATAAAAATGATTAATGAAATAATAAAATGAGAATAAAAATATTCTCTTAAAAAACAAAATTCTAGTAATTTATGATATTATTTATCATTTTTACTTAAAACTGTCGAAATATTCACGGAATTAAATATT